CGTGCAGCAGTGCCCCACAAACAGTCGTGGATTGAGTGACCAAATTATTATTATTCATTTTTTTAAGGGATTATTAGTTCCGGAAAGCAATCCGCCAATCAACTAACAGCCATGTTCCTATTTACTGCTAGGTAAATAGAGGCGTGTGGAGTAAGGAAACTTGCCCAAGGTTTCACCCTGCACGGAATCGAACCCAGGTCCTCTCACTTGCCAGGGGAGTGCTCTAACCACTACGCTACAGGATTCCACACAAAAATTGTATTAAACACATCTCAAATTTTACAAGGAATTGCTGCCAAATGTGATGACTATATTTATGGGTAAATGTGGCAGCCATTTTGCACATAGAAAGGTCTCCCAGTAATAATATGATTGACCGAGTTATTTAGGGGTCTGGCGGCCTTTTCTTTTTGATTCATTTCATGGAATATTTAACATTTGTCTGAACAAGCAAACTGAACCTCAGTTTAACGTCATATTCAAATGATGTCACTTATGACAATGCAGAACTTCCTCAGTACCGGAAAATTGGGGCTTGATCCCACAACTTTCTGGCAAAAGGTGAGAGTTCTACCAACTGAGCCAGGGATACTCCTTTTTACAGATCTATCAAACGAGCCAGAATAAAATTTATGGCAGAATTCTTTCCCACACTTAGCTGCGTGAGCCCATCACTCCATCCTCATTGAATTTCACTGGCAGAATTGAATTCAAGAATCTGCCTCACCACGTTTCTGCAATTCCATTGCCCTGGCCATTACCTCCACTCAGCAAACGCCCATCCTCTCTGCTTCATAACCAGTGAGCAAACCAGAGGAGCACTCCTACTGCATCACAAGAACATTTCCATGAGGTGAACGAGATGCAGTAGTTTGAATTTGTGGGCAATCACCCAGGAAATCAAAGCTGAATTCAAATCAGAATTCTAGGGACCACTATGCCTTGCAGGAACCCCCTGGTTACCTCTGCTGTGTAGACAAGTTTCACTAGAATGTCTTGTTTTGTACCAGGTCATCAATACACTGCCAGAGAGTAAATGAAAGATCACTTGCCAAATATTCTAGAATTTGAGAAGAAATTATTTTATACATAGGCTACTTTGATGGACGATTCTGAAGTTTACAGCCCTTGCTTTATTTCAATATTTCAGCCTTCACCCTCTTATTTTTCTTTTATTTGAGGCCCTATTCTTCCAGAGGCAGAAGATGCCACATTTGCTGATTGGAGCGGAAAAGATTCAAACCCCGAGTGGATTCTGCAATACCAGGTAGCATGGGAAAATACTAGCATTGATAACGGGATTTTCAATCCTGCCATCTGCTTCCAGTCCAGTTACATTCACATTTACCCTGAGTTGCTCCTGCACATTAAGTGGTTGAGATCTGAACTTCAAGTTACATTCCACATTGCACTGACTGGCAAGCTTTGCTCTGCTTCACATCTAACAGGAATCTAGTGGAAAGAATCCTAGCTCCAGTGACAGGCCTTCCGTGCCCCTCCAAGTCCACGTTGGTTGGTCTGTCATCAGCAATGCCTTGGGAGTACTGCAAACCCACTTGGCTGTCACAGGAGACTTACTTGATTCTGACATTCAGTTGCTAAGCACATCACCTTGTAGCCAGTTCAGCCCCAAGAAGACCCGGCTTACCTTCCCTCCAAAGAGAATAGTCAGCACTTCACAGAACATTGAGTCTAATCTATGTAACGCACAACATTTTTTTACCAAGAGGGGGTTGGGATTGTCTGGAGCCCCAAAAATGTCTTTATATTTACAAAAACTAGTACTCTTCTTCAGATCAAATTGTCATCCAAGAGATTTAAAAACATCACATCTCCAGACCTGCTCTGATTTCCATTGGCCAAAATGATTGGACTGCTTCCTCACTGGCTAATGAATCACAGAAATCCTTTCACAAATCTGACTGGTACAACTTTGCCTCCTTTGCTTTGCCCCAAATACGCAATATTACTCTGACCAAGAACCAAACAGATTAATGCAATCTAATACAAAGAGGACCTTTTTAATTCAATACCGCTTTCTAGATTTCTTTAAATATTAAAGTGAAGTTTGGTGGTTATTACCAGTGTGATGCACAATTCTAAAACTTCAAACACTCCTGGAAAACAGAATGTGAACAAAATGGCTAACCAAAGGAACCATTCAACTCTGGGTAACATTAAAAATCACTTCTTGAGACAATGATCAGAAATAAAAATAAAATTACACAATCAGTCTCATTGTCTGAGGAGGGAAGTAGAGATCAGTGGATTCATGAGATAAGAGGAAAATGAAGATTCAAAACAACTGCCTCCTTCTTCAGAGGATGAAAGCTAAGAAATGGATAAATAAGAGGAATAGAATTGAACATCCTTCAAAGTCTGTCCGCACATAAATGTCCCTCACAATTCCTCATCTATTCCACATTCACATTACCCTCATTTTCAAAAAGACAAAACAGAAGGTCTCATCAACACTCCCATCATTCTCCTACAGCTGAAGAATGGAAGGTCCTTTCCTCACGATTCCCTTACCCAATTATACATTTCGAGCTTTCACAGTAGAGAGTAGGATCCAAAATTTAGGGAGAATTGCTGCTCTAATTTTGTGGAGACCAACCACAATTCTGTCAAACTCTAATAGTTTTCACATCTCCTCTGCAGTTACTTGCTATGAGCCAAGAAAGGAGTTGGAGCTATCCCCTCTAGGTCAAAGCTATCCACTTGAATAAAGTACTAGAGGGTATCCAGCAACCATGCAACTGTACTAATATACAAATCAGGACAAGGGAAAATTAAAGCATTAAAAATATTTTTTCCCAAAATTTCCAACATTCTCCAAAGAAAGGTACCTGCTGCATTCAGACAGTTTACTCAACTCTACCAATCAGCGATTCAAAACTAGCAGATCCTGGAACATCAACCACTGGAGACTGATCAATAATCAAGGTTCATTTTCAACTGCTAAGGTATGTCTGATACTGAACAGTGCCACAGTACATGGTAAACTAGCCTGTTTGCATTCCAGATACAATCTTCAAATCCTAGACCTACACATTACCTTTTTGTCCTCAGCAGTTTACATGGACTTAGAATTTATTTTCAGAAAAACCCTCACCTATCCCCTCTCCCCTCCCAGCATTACAATATTTTACTGTATTATTTTATTGCATTGGCGTCCACAAATCAGGACACTTTAATATGAATTATAACTTGAAACTATCTAGCTCTCTGTGCAAACAATAATTCCAGATTAAATAGTGAACCACCCATCCCCCCTCACAACTCAAGATGTAAAATTCCAAACAACTTCTGTACTGAAAACACACCTGTGAGCAGGATTTAAACACGCACAGGATAACTTAAGAATTCAATGATGCCAGAAATTAAGAATATGCTATTCTGAGGCAGCAAGATATCTGTAAAGTAACTCCAACAGTGCATTCAAATGTTACCTACTGTAACCAGTTAAGCACATCAGTGCTATCCTGTAGATATATACAATCATTCCAGCACTTTTAGGACGAAGTATCAAGAGCAAACTGTTTTCAGTGGAAGAATTCCATTAGAGATTCATGTAGGCAAATGTTTGATGTACTTTTACACCCATAATCTTTAACCTGCCATGAAATGGGTTCATGTTGGTGTGTTATTCGGCATGTATTTGGTCAAATTTAACCTGATCAAGGTCAGGGGTAAAGTAAAATCCTCATCAGCTTCCTCGCGCACACATAATAATCGGGGCACAGTGATACTGATATTGTTTGCACTGTCATCTCAATGCAGCCAGCTGCTCGGCACTTCAAGGTCAGAAGCGGATTGCATCGCAGCTCCCTGTTTTCCATACGAGCCTGAAACAATGCCCGTTACCTGTGTTTATTTCCCCCCCTCACCCTCCCATGTAACCAAAGCCATCTCCAAGTTTATGAGCTAATCAGGATTGTTGTGCCATTGCATCACAGGCAATTATAAATGGCCAGGAGCGGCGGAAGAGGAGCCAATCAGATTACACACAGCATGTCAACCTAAGACCAACTGTCTCCTGCCTTTGACAGAAGCATTTTACCTCCATAATTCAAATCCCAAACCAATGCAATCTGCACTTACTCAAATCACTGGCTGTGCATTGCCAGCCCGCTGCCTGCTCAAGGTTGCACCCAGTCAAAGCAGCGAAAAAAAAAGAAGAGAGGGATATGGGGGTAGGGGGGTAAGACACACGACCAACAAAATGCACAAAGACAGCCCTGCACAGCCCCCACACCCCCACCTCCATCAGCAAACACAGTGTTAAAACAACCAGGAACAAAAGCACAGGGCATTTACTGATCAGCCAAAAGCAAGTCGGGGTGGGAATGGTAACACAAAGAAGCAGCATCTCTCTCAATCTCTCTCTCTCTCAATCTCTCTCCCTCCCTCACGCACAGCTTCTGAATCGGTTTGCAAACATATGATGCATTAAAAAAAACATCCCTCGTTACAGGGAGAGAGAGAGGAGAAGAAGAAGAGAGAGAGAGAGAGAGGAGGAGGAGAGAAAAAAAAAATGCGTTTAATTCGACCACATTTTGTTTAAAAAAATTTTTTTTTAAAAAAAGGGGGGCAGGTTGCAAAGACGTTTCGGTTCGCTCGGTTTTAGGACAATGCAACTTACCCCCCGAAGCTGCCCCCCCGGGGGAGGAGGAGGAGGGGGGGTTGGGGGTTGGGGGGGTCCCGTGCACAATGCAGAGAGAGAGAGAGGGAGAGGCGGAGGAGAGGGCTTGAAACGGGTTTCAAGGGGGGGGAAGACTTTACATAATTCATACCCGGAGCGGTTCCTGCTCCTGCACGAAGCCGGCCATTTTAGAGCAGCTTCTTTGTGCTGCTGCTGCTGCTGCTGCAGACAGACAGCAGCCACAGAAGCCTTAGCCTTTCGTTAAGCGCGTGAACCAGGGCAAACCCGACCTCCCCCCTCCCCTCCACCACCACCCACCCACCCACCACCCAGTCAGTCAAACACTTATCATTACCTGTGTCCTGGTCAGGGTCTGCCCGGTGTTGCCCGGGCTCATGGGCGGGTGGTGGCTCTTTTGTTGCCCAGGCCAGGCCTGGACCGGGTACTGACTGCCCAGCTCGGCTCCCTTGGCCAACTCCTGGCCGCTGCTGTAGTCCTGCTGCTGCTGCTGGGCCTGGGCCTGGCTGTAGCCGCTGAAGGCCCTGGCGCCGCTCGGCGAGGTCAGGAGCTGGTTGAGGGTCGGGGTGGTGGAGGCGGGCGGCGGCGGTTGCTGCTGGAGCCCGGGCCCGGGAGTCTGCTGCTGCTGCTGCTGCTGCTGCCCCACGTAGCGCTGGAAAGTGGCGGCCGCCATGGCCTTGGGGCCGGCGGCGGCGGCCCGGGGCGAGCTCAGGCCGTAGCCCGGGTTGGGGTAGCCGCTGCGAGCGGCCGGGTAGGCGGCCGCGCTGTAGTTGTTGTACTGGCCCGAGAAGGCCTCGTGCGAGTTGGGCTGGAAGGTGTCGAGGCCGCCGGGCTGCAGCGCGGCCCCCATGCCGGGGCTTTGTTGTCCGCCATGTTGGTGGAACGGGCCTCTGTAGTGGTTGTAGCCGTAATTCGGCAGCGCGGCGGCGGCGGCGGCGCTAGGCCCGGGCCCGGGGCTCGCGTTCACCAGCGCCCCGGGATTCGAGGCCGAGCTGCCGCTGTTGGAATGATCGAAGCGCTGGTCGCCCAGGAGGCCCCGGCCCCCGGGCTCCTGCTCACCGCTCGCCCCGTTACTCTGCTCGACCCCGGCCTGAGCCTCCTCCCCGCCTCCGTCCTCCTCTCCGGGGCCCGGCGCCGCGCTCAGCCGGTGGTTGCTGAAGGTGTCCCTGGCAGCGGGCGGCTCGGAGCCGTTGCCCGGCAGCTGGTGCTCGGAGGCGGCGGAGACCCCGCTGCTGGGCCCCGGTCCCTGCCCGGGCTTCAGCGCCGCCAGCTCCCCGCCGGCTTTGGCCTGGCTCATGTCGGCCTCTCTGAGGGCGCTGACCGGAGCGGCCATGCCCGCCCGCCCGCCCCCCTCTCCCCCTCTCCTCCTCCTCCGCCGCCGCCGCCGCCTCTCCCTTCTCTCACTTGGACTGTCGCTCGGTCCCGGCCTCTCACTCTCAGCCTCGGCTCCGGCCTCTTCTTCTTCTTCTCCTCCTTCCTCCTCTCCTCTCCTCCCCGCCCCCGGCCCCGGCCCAGCCGCCTCGCCCCCCCCCCTCTCTCTCTCCTCCTCCCTCCCTCCCTCGGCGGAGGCCCTGGCCTCGGCTTCGCGTACGGCGCTCAGACGGCGGCGGTGGCGCTCAGCGTGCCGGTGTGTGTCCGCATGGCTGGGCGAGGCCGCCAGTCCCCGTCTAACGGCGCCTCGGGCCCCGCGCCGCACGCGGTCTCCCAGAACTACTGCCCATCTTGTGCGGAGCGGCGCCCGCAAAACCCGGAGCGGAGCCGAGCCGCGCCACGGGGCTGGGAGCCGGAACGCCCGCCCGCCCGCAATGCCCCGGCGCTTTCCCTCCCCAGTCCGCTACCCCCACCCCCCCCCCCCCGCGGCTCCTGCTGCCTCTGCCGGCCCGGCCGGCCCCTGCCTCCCTTCTCCTCCCTTGCAACCCCCCCCAACCCCCACTCCTGTACCCTCTCTCTCTCTGTCACCTTCACCCCTTTCTTCCCTCCAGTTTCCTCTTTCTCCATCCATTTCCCCCTTTCACTTCTTTCCCCCCCCCCCCCACTCTGTCCCCCATTCTCCCCCCATTTCTCCCCCCCCTCTATCCCCCATTTCTCCCCCCCCCCATCTTCCCATATCTCTCCCCACCCCTCTATCCCCCATTTCTCCCCCCACCCCTCTATCCTCCCATTTCCCCCTTTCTTCCTTCTATCCCTTCTCCCTCCCATTCCCCTCTCTATCCCCACTTCTCCCTCCCATTACCCCCTCTATCCTCACTTTCCCCTCCCATTACCCCTTCTATCCCCACTTTTCCCTCCCATTAGCCCCCTCTATCCCCACTTTTCCCTCGCATTACCCCCTTCTCCACTGCTTTCCCTTCCTTCTCCCTCCAATTGTTCACCCATCTCCATCCAATTTCCCCTCTTCCTTCCCCCATTCCACTCCTTCTCCCATTGCCCCCTCTTCCCCAATTTCTGTCTTTCTCCCCTCTCTCCATCTCCTTTCTCCCTCCCATCCCCCCCCCCTCCTTTCTCCCATATTATTCAAGGCCTAACTTTATGCCCGTGCTTTTGGTCAACTTTTCTCCACTTCCATCTCTGTCGTTCTCCATCACTAGTTTGGGTGCCCAGCAGCTATGTTAAGTGCTTTGAGATGTCCTCCTGACGTGAAAAGATCTATTTAGATGTATATCTCTTCCCCCTTTACTCCCCACACCCCTCCCTTACTCCCTCCGCACCCCATTTACTTCCATCACCCCCTCTCACTCTCGCCTTTCTCTTCCCAACCTTACCTCTTTGACCTGACCAATCTTCTCAAATGCTGCCACCATATTCCCAGTTTATTGCCCGACCACTCATTTCCCCCGAGTCCCAGGTGAGGCTTGCGGGACAAAGCGTTAGACTGGAAATATCCAGGTGAGAATACAAAAACGAGCTAAATAAGTAGAGATCAGAAAATGGATCCAAACATTGCAGAGTCTCACAATACATTTGTATTGACCATAACAACAGTGAAACCAGAGACTGGACCTTGTGCACATAAAGGAAGACAGCAGAAATTGGATAAATATTAATCCTTGCAATTGCTTTAGCGCCTAAAACATCCAAACATCTCAAAGACCTCCTCGCGGAATGACTGCTCAGTGTAGTGACTGTATTTATTGGAAAACTGGAGTTACATGGTACCTAGAGGTTCTCAAACCGCCAGTAAACCATGTATCTGGAGGATTGTTGGCCAGGAACACTGTGAGAAACAGTTTTCCCCCAATAGTGTGACAGGATGTGTAATATCCACTTGACAGGAGACACTGCCAACGGGGCGGGAGCTCCAACGTTTATTGACATTTCACAAAGATCCCAACATCCGATTTTAAAGGTGTAAACACCACCATTTACGAGAGGGGATGTGTGTTGCTATTAAAAGTATATCTCAGGGAAAGCTGCGTTCCCGGTGGAATGTCTGTGACACCACTGAGCAAAACACAAGAGGGTGTGAATGGTTTTAATTTTGCACATGTGGACAAACCGGTTTTTTTTCTCTCCCCCCACACACATCAAACGACATGAATTCAAACCCCCACCTCTCCCGCACCTCTTGCGGGGCGATCCACACCAACCTCAAGGGGGGGACACACACTCGTCCTTCCACTGCTGCGAAAGGGGAAACGTTAACAAAAGTCTTTTTTTTTAATATATGTATATGTGTGTGTGTGTGTGTGTGTGAAAAAAAAGGTGAAGAGGTGAACCCACTGAGCCGGGGATTGTGTATATATATATACACACACACACATACACAGCTCTGCACACACGGTGCGGATTGCACTGGTTCTGTCCCTTCGCTTTTTTTGTGTGTGTGACTATTTTTTTAATCCCCCCCCAAAAAAAAAATAAGCCGTGCAATAAAACATATTCCTGGGGGAGGATTCCCCCCTAAAGCGCTCGTTGCTTTTGCGCGAGAGAGAAAGAGAGAGAGAGTGATGTGAGTGAGTGAGTGATGTGAGTGAGAGAGAGAGAGAGGGGAGGAGGTGGCGGTGGGAAAGGTCACAAGAGCGCGGCCCCTCTGCTCCTCTGGGACCCGCCGTCTCCGGTCCAAAGTCACCCCCCACCGCTCGCACCGGGAGGTCGGGGTCGGGTCGCATCCGTGTGCGGTCCGCCCGGTGCGGGGTGGTGGGGGGGGGGGGGGGGGGTATGGGCAGCGCTGCGCTGCGCTGGAGGGTTCGTGTTCGGTGCGGATCCAGTCCGGGTTTTACATCGGCTCCGACTTCCTCCATCCACACTGTGCGCCGAGAGCCGCAGCACTCACAGGGCCGCTCCCGCTCCTTCCACCCCGTCCCCCCACTCCCCCCACCCCCGGGTGCTGGGCCCCGCCCGCCCGCCCGCCCGCACCGCGACCCCCCGGGGCCTCCCCCCGCCGGGCCTGAGTGGGGGGCATTTCCCGGCCTTTCCCGCTCGGGTCGGGCGGACGCGGTCTCTCAGACGCGGGCGGACTACTTCCTCGAAGCTGTCTTTTTGGCACATTCCTGTGTCATTGCGCAGTGCAGTGTCTCTCAGCGCTCTTCCTGGAAACTCCCGCCCAAAGCACAGCACCGACACACTGCACCGGGACATAGCACCGATACACAGCACCGGGACACTGCACCAGTACATAGTGCACAGCACTGATACACAGCACCGACACACTGCACCGGGACACAGTGCACAGCACCGACACACAGCACCGGGGACATAGTGCACAGCACCGGGACACAGCACTGATACACAGCACCGGGGACATAGTGCACAGCACCGATACACAGCACCGGGACACACAGCACCGGGACACAGCACCGGGACACTGCACCGACACACTGCACCGGGACACTGCACTGATACACAGCACCGGGACACTGCACCGACACACTGCACCGGGGACACAGTGCACAGCACCGATACACAGCACCGGGACACAGCACTGGGGACATAGTGCAAAGCACCGGGACACAGCACCGGGACACTGCACCGATACACAGCACCGGGACACTGCACCGACACACAGCACCGGGACACAGTGCACAGCACCGATACACAGCACCGGGACACAGTGCACAGCACCGATACACAGCACCGGGACACAGCACTGGGGACATAGTGCACAGCACCGGGACACTGCACCGATACACAGCACCGGGACACTGCACCGACACACAGCACCGGGACACAGTGCACAGCACCGATACACAGCACCGGGACACAGTGCACAGCACCGATACACAGCACCGGGACACAGCACCGGGACACAGTGCACAGCACCGGGACACTGCACCGATACACAGCACCGGGACACTGCACCGACACACAGCACCGGGACACAGTGCACAGCACCGATACACAGCACCGGGACACAGTGCACAGCACCGATACACAGCACCGGGACACAGTGCACAGCACCGATACACAGCACCGGGACACAGTGCACAGCACCGACACACAGCACCGGGACATAGTGCACAGCACCGGGACACTGCACCGGGGACATAGTGCACAGCACCGGGACACAGCACCGGGGACATAGTGCACAGCACCGGGACACTGCACCGGGACACAGCACCGGGACACAGCACTGATACACAGCACCGGGACACTGCACCGACACACAGCACCGGGACACTGCACCGGGACACAGCACTGATACACAACACCGGGACACAGCACCGGGACACAGCACTGATACACAGCACCGGGACACTGCACCGGGACACAGCACTGATACACAGCACCGGGACACTGCACCGGGACACAGCACTGATACACAGCACCGGGACACAGTGCACAGCACCGATACACAGCACCGGGACACAGCGCACAGCACCGGGATACAGTGCACAGCACCGATACACAGCACCGGGGACATAGTGCACAGCACCGGGACATAGCACCGGGGACATAG